CTAACTTAATCTGGATTATGAGATGAACCGGGTTGCATGACTCAACATGATTTAAAACAGAAATTTCCTTAACTGGGGCATCCTCCTTCCCTATCAAGCAAACTTTCATCCTTCAATCCTTGCTTTCACCCAAAAGCCTCACTGTTGTATCAAAACACATCTTTAAGTCCTGCCTTTTTGGCCACAAAGCATAATGAACAACAGGACTGGCTGGGTTTTCTTTGGGACAAGCTACCACAAAGCCCATGCCACCACTACCAAAGGACTGCTGGTCTTCAGGACTTGCTGAGAGCCATTGTCATTGATAACAAAACCAAGAATTCTCTCCCTAAATCCAGTGCTCTCTGGGTGGTCATCTCCATCCACAATCACCTAGAAGGGCTCACCTTATGGACCAAATCAGAGAATAACAGAATAACAGAGCTGGAAGGGATCTTAGAGATCTTCTAATCCAACCCCCTGCTCAAGCAGGAGACCCTCTACTACAGTGGTTCTCAACCTGTGGATCGAGACCCCATTTGGGGTCGAACGACCATTTCACGGGGGTCGCCAAACAACGCAGTCCGCCATTTTTTCCCCCTTTTCTTTAGCTGTGCTACTCCCTTTTATTCTATTGGCTTTCAAAAGCCCATAGGAATTGTCCAGGCTGTCTCTGACCTGCTGAGCCCGCCAAAAGTCCCATTCTGCAAACGGTGCTGCATCAGTTGAGTAGTCCTCGACTTACGACTGGTTGGGGGTCGCGGCATTAAAAAGGTTGAGAACCACTGCTCTACTATTTCAGACAAGTGGCTGTCCAATGTCTTCTTAAAAACCCTCCAGTGATGGATGTCTGTGGAGATTCTCAATCATCCAGGTCATAGTTGTCCCAAAGATGGTTTTGCACAAGGCAACTGGACTTCTTTGTTTTTCTTTGAAGACATTTCGCTTCTCATCCAAGAAGCTTCTTCAGCTCTGACTGGATGGTGGGGAATGGAAGGATTTATATATTCCTTGCAGACAGCTGATCATTTGCATCCTTTTAGAGAGCCTTCTTGGAATTGCTGAATGGACTTGTGTTGTAGACTGGAGATAGATGTTGTATCCCTCCCCCTCTGTTGAGAGAGGGCTGTTCAATTTTGACACAGGTGGCCTTTTTGGCCCCCCTTTCAAAGCAACCATATTGCATTATTCACTGTTGCTCCGCACCAATTTGCACTACCCAGGTAACTCTAACCACACAGATAAACCTCCAGGTGGCCTCAATTACTCTCCAAAAGAAGGCAAATGACCAGCTGTCTGCAAGGAATATAAATCCTTCCATTTCCGCACCATCCAGCCAGAGCTGAAGAAGCTTCTTGGATGAGAAGCGAAATGAAGAAACTTCTTGGATTTTTCCCTCAAAGAGGGAAAGAAGAAAGTCCTGTTGCCTCGTGAAAAAGCAACTTTGGGACTCAAAAACTTCTGAAGGCAGCGTTTTTATTACAGAAGGCACGGAGAACATACCTGCATAATGAACACAAGAGTCCTCAGCCTCCCTGATTTCTAAGGAAGTATTGCATAGTCACCACAGCAAGAAAAAACTTGTGTCTATTACGCAAGCTCTGAAGACTACAGGAACGAACTGCACCCAAAATACGAATAATTTAAAAACATACCCACTGTCATGGTTCCAACAGATGAAACTCTTCAAAGAACTTCGAGGCCTTAAAGAATCTTTATTCGAGAAGCATAGCATCGGCATGTGCATAGGCCAAGCCAAAATCTGAGTTCCCCTCCCCTGAGCACATAGTATCAAAGCACAATTCCCTCCTCTAATTAACCGTCATAAATCACATTCTCCAATTAGTTTGAAATGCAGGCTCTCCTTCCAGTTCTCCAACCCACCAATTCTTATCATCTCTTATTTCAAAAACCTTGGTTCTCACACTAGTTACAGTATTGTTATGTCTAACTAAACTCCCCATGCATATTCTTCCCGCCCCCAGTATCATCTAATTCTAACTCTAATTCTAAGAGTAAAACATAAGAAGGAAAATGGCTGCATCTCCATTGTTGTCAAAGCAAGAACATCCGATGTTAGCAACGTTGACACCCATGTTTAATTCAGTTAGCCGAAGGGTTGGCTGCGCTACTTTACCAGCTTTTCAATCCATGAAGGGTCCAGTCAGACACCTCTACATTGAATCTGAGTACAGCCAACCCTTGACTTACAGCAATTCATTTAGTGACCATTCAAAGTTACAACGGCACTGAAAAAAGTGACTTACGACCATTTTTTCACACAACTGTAGCAGCATCCCCCATGGTCACGTGATCAAAACTCAGATACTGGGCAACTGGCCTGTACTTATGCAGTTGCAGTGTCCTGGGCTCAGATGATCCTCTTGCGCGACCTTCGGATGAACAAAGTCAATGGGGAAGCCAAATTTATTTAACAGCCATGTTGTTCACTTAACCACTGCACTGATTCCCTTAACAGCTGTGGCAAGAACAGTCGTAAAGTGGGGCAAAACTCACTCTTAATAACCGTCTTGCTTAGCAATGGAAATTTTGGGCTCCACTGTGGTCGTTAAGTCGAGAACTAGCTGTCAGTAAATCCGAAATGAAAGCAGTGACAATAGATCCCTCCCTCAGAAGTTTTCTGAAAGGGCCTAATGGCATCGCCATCATAATCTCTGCTATTCGGAACAGATTTCTGATCTTCCCCTGAGGTGGTGAATTTCAATCCCTTAATCCTCTAGTCATCGTGTCTGGGGATTATGGGAGATGAAATCCAAGGCCTGGGGAGAGCACCACGTTGGGGAAGGTCACCTATAGAGACAACGGGTGGAAAATGTGCTTGCAGGCCACCTCATCCTCAGCCAAAATAAAATTTAAAAGCAGACTAGGAATTTGCAAGTTGACTTTCCCCCAATGCCCGGCCTTAGAATATTTTTTCCCGGCTTGATTTGAGGTTCCAATCCCATCTTAGCCCTTGTGAAACCCTGCCAGGGTGACAACGGTGCCTTTGAAGTAGCATGTAAGCCTCCATTTTGCTAATCTTTATACCCAGGCACTATAAATAAAAGGGGAGGGAGAAACCACTCTGACAACTAGAGTTAAGCATGGTGGATAAAAAAGATCCACTCCCTTCCTATCATTTCAGCTCTTCTTTCTATGAATAGACTCGGCTGTCAGCTTCGGGAGAAAGCATACAAGACAATCTGTATTTACCCTTTTAAATTCCAGCTCTATAAATACGGACAGCTGACATCCCTGATTTGTATTAGCCCCGGGTGCGTTTTCCCCTAGCCGGGGGTCCAAGAATCATGTCTAGACATCGTTTTCTTGTGAAACCAGCAGCAATACACAGGGTCCTCCACTTACGGCCACATTCACGTTGCTAAGCGGTCGGTGAATTTGGCCCCCCTTTTACGACTTTTCTTGCGGCAGTTGTTAAGGGAATCACTGCCGTTCTTAAATTAGCAGCCTCATTATTAAGTGAATTCCAGTTTCCGCAATTGTCTTTGCTTGTCACAAGGTCGCAAAAGGGGATGATGTGAACACACAAGCACACACACACACACACACACACACACACACACGGGACAGTGCGACCATCATAAATGCGAGTCGGTTGTGAATCATCCGAATGTAAAACAAAAACGTGACCCTGAGGATGCCGCAACAGTCGTGTGAAAATGGTCACAGGTCACTTTTTTTGCAGTGCGGTTGTAACTTAGAACGGACACCAAGTGACGTAAGGCGAGGACTACCTGTATTCCACAAAAGGCTCTCCGTGCACCCTCTTGAACATCAGAATCCACCTTTATGTGACCGTTTCCAAAAGCACTTTTAGTCACCAACGCCACACGCCTTCTCTGCACAAAAATCAGGTGGTGACAAACCCGCATGGTCTCATGTCCACACAAAGCAACACAAGGGAACACCTACTGACCACCTGAACAATGCCTACACACCAGGTCTGCCCAAATTGAGGACAATTCACCCAAACAGATGTGTGGGGTGGGGGGGCATCTTCCCAGCATAGACCCTCCCCATCCTCGTTGTGAAACAACCTTCAGAGAACTGGGTACATAATCCAGCTCGGGTTGTGGTAGCAGAGACACCCCATCCTGTTTTGCCAAAGAGGTGAGATGTTGAAGAGCTTCCAAGCTCAACAACTCAACCTAAACACCCCGGTGGTGGAGTCAAAAGCTACCTTAAGCAGGTTTAAGGCCAGGAACAGGGATGGGTTCAACCCCTGGTGGTGGGGAAGCTTCTCAGATGCCTCCTCCATTGGCTTCATGAATAGAACATGAAGGAGATGTGCGTCTATACCGTATATTTTTTTTTCTTACTTGTGGTTTTTACTGGTGTGTAGTGTGCACTGTGGAGAGCACTCAATTTGGTTGTGAGATACACAATAAAGATATTCTATTCTATTCTATTCGATTCGATTCTATATCCCAATATCTATTCTATTCTATTCTATTCTATTCTACTCTATTCTATTCTATTCTATTCTATTCTATTCTATTCTATATCCCAATATCTATTCTATTCTATTCTATTCTATTCTATTCTATTCTATTCTATTCTATTCTATATCCCAATATCTATTCTATCCTATCTATTCTATTCTATTCTATTCAGCCAAAAGGGACCACATCTCCACTCCGGAGCGAAGTGGAAGCTGGGCAGTTCCCAGGTTGGGAAGATGGGGTCAGAGGACGTGGGAAAGGGCGACCACCCTCCTTCTCCCGAGTCAAGGGTCGGGGGAGGGGGGGTCTCCTTCCCGGAAGGGGGGAGGGCGATTTTTCAATAACCCTCCCCTCCCCACCGGCCAATCGCTGGTCGGAAGAGGGACGCCCTCCACTCCGGCCACTCAACCCCCAAGTTGGCCCCGGCGAGGGGACCCCCAAGATCAGGACCCCTCCCCACATCTCCGCCGCCTTCGTCCCCCTCCCCTTCCAGGAGCATTGCCCCCCCCCGGGCGCCCTCCCCGGTCCCCAGGCAGGGAGCGAGGCGGCCGCACTTACGTGCCCAGCGTCTCCTTGAACTCGAAGATGCGGCCGATGTCGTCGGCGGACTTCTTCCAGGACGAGCCGATGCGCTCCTCGCCGTTCTCCTGGGCCATGGCAGCGGCGGAGCCGAGGGAGCCGGCGGGCGGGCGGGCTGGTGAGGCGAGGCGAGGCGAGGCAGGCGCCAGCCGGGAAAAGGCGGAGGAGGAGGCGGAGAAGGAGGAGGAGGCGGCGGCGGCGGCTTTTGCTTTCTCTTCTTCTTCTTCGGGCGCCGCTTCCTTCTGGCCCGCGACGGCGCCCCGACTTCCTGGTCGGCGCTCCGGAGCTGCTCTCCGGCTCAAGTTGGAGAGTTTCCCGGTCCTTCCTTCCTTCCTCTCACCCTCCCTCCCTCCTTTCTCTTTCTCCTCCTGCCTTCCTTCTTTCCTTCCCTTTCTCCTCCTTCCTTCCTCTCACCCTCCCTCCCTCCTTTCCCTTTTTTCTCCTCTTCTTTTCTTCCCTTTCTCCTCCTTCCTTCCTTCCTTCCTCCCTTCCTTCCTTGCTTGCTTCCTTCCTTCTTTCCTCCCTCCCTCCTTTCCCTTTCTCCTCCGGCCTTCTTTCCTTCCTTCCTCCCTCCCTCCCTTCCCTTTCTCCTCCGGTCTTCCTTCCTTCCTTCCTCCCTCCCTTCCCTTTCTCCTCTTCTTTCCTTTCCTTTCTTTCCCACTTCTGCTTTTCACGCCATCCTTCCCCTCTTGGCTTCCTCGGGTGCAGAAGGGGGTGGGTTGGCGGCGAGGTGGAGAGCCGTGCCCCCTTCCCCCGAGGCTCGAGGAGAAGGAGCAAGAGGAGGAGAACAAAAGAAAAGAAAGGGAAAGGGAAGAAGAGAAAGTCCGCGCCAAGCGTCGCTTTTCCCCCCCTGCCTTCCTCCGGCTGGCTCCGCTCTGCGGCGAGAGTGAACTTTCCCAGGGAAGCGCGCCGAGCTCTCGCTTGCCTGTCTGTGTGCCTGCCCGTGAGTGTGTGTGCGTGCGCGCGTGTGTTTGTGTGTGTGTGTGTGTGTGTAGGAGAGAAAGTGAGAGCAGCAGAGGGCGATTCTCTCCCCCCCCCCCTCTCCTCCGGCTGCTGCAGCTCCAGTTCACTAAATGGTATTTCAGGGAGACGTTTGGCGAGCGTTAGTTGTTATGGTAATAGAGGAGGGCGGAGACTGCTTTTTTTAAAAAAAATCCTCCCCCCCCCGTCTCATCCCCGCTGCGAAGCCATCCAGGGCGATTTCGCCCCCCCCCTCGTTCCCCTTTCGAAGCGGCCCGCCACAAATTCGCATTGCACCAGCCGGACGCGTGTGGGTCGGGGCGCTTTGGCACCTTCCTTCCTTCCTTCCTTTCTCCCTCCCTTTTTTCCTTTCTTCATCCCTCCCTCCCTTCTTCTCTTCCTTCCTTCCTCCCTTTCCTTTTTTCCTCCCTTTTTCTTCTCTTCCTGCCACCCTTCCTCCCTTCCCCTTTTTTCCTTCCTTCCTCCCTCCCTCCCTTCTTCTTTTCCTCCCTCCCTTCCCTTTTTCTTCCTTCCTTCCTTCCTTCTTTTTTTCTCCCTTCTTCCCTTCCTCCCTTCTTCTCTTCCTCCCACCCTTTCTCTCTTCCCCTTTTTCCTGTCTTCCTCCCTCCCTTCTTCTCTTCCTCCCTTCCTTTCCTTTTTTTCCTTTCTTCCTCCCTCCCTGCCTCCCTTCCCTTTTTCTTCCTCCTTCTCTCCTTTCTTCTCTTCCTCCCTCCCTCCCTTTTCTTCCTTCATACCTCCCTTCTCTTCCTCCCTTCCTTTTTTCCTTCCTTCCTTCTTTTTCCCCCTTCTTCTCTTCCTCCCACCCTTTCTCCCTTTCCCTCCTTTCTTCTCTTCCTCCCTCCTTCCTTCCTTTTTTCCTCCCTCCCTTCTTCTCTTCCTCCCTCCCTTTCCTTCTTTCCTTCCTTCCTCCCTTCTTCTCTTCCTCCCTCCCTTTCCTTCCTCCCTTCCTCCCTTCTTTTCTTCCCTTCCTTTCCTTTTTTCCTTCCTTCCTTCCTTCCTTTCCCCCCCTTCTTCTCTTCCTCCCACCCTTTCTCCCTTCCCCTCCTTTTTTCTCTTCCTCCATCCCTCCCTTTCCTTGCTTCCCTTCCTTCCTTCCTTCCTCCTCCTCTTCTTCCCTCCATTTCCTTCCTCCCTTCTTCTCTTCCTCCCTCCCTGCCTCCCTTCCCCTTTTCTTCCCCCCTCCCTCCTTTCTTCTCTTCCTCCCCCCCTTCCCTTTTTTCCTCCCTTCCCTTCTTCCTGCCAGTGGGGAGGCGGGGGGGGGAGGGCGCGGCTGGGAGCTTGGCAAATCGGACGCGCGGAGCCGCGGGGCCAACAATGCGACAACTCGGCCCCCAGTCGGGATTTGTCTTGCCAGGAAGGCGACTCCGGTCTGCAACCGTGCGCCCGCGGGGCAGAACCGGCCGGGGCTCCCTCTTGGCCACCGGGAGGGATTGGACGGGCCGGGACAGAGATCCGTCGGCCAAGACCCTCCCCCGCCTCCCCAGGCGAACGGAGCCGGGCTGTCCCCAAAGTGACCGACGGAACAGCTGGGCCCTTCTTAGGCTGAAATAACTAACGTGTGTGTGTGTGTGTGTGTGTGTGTGTGTGTGTGTGTGTGTGTGTGTTTTACAATTAACGGACAGGAGGTAGTGCTCCTACTTAGAAGTTCCAAAACAGAGGGAAAAATGAAGCCTAAAGGATCACAAGAGGTGCCAGACTGAGCCATTGAATAACTAATCTAGTCTACTCTCTTCTCAGTTATACACCTCAGCTGGATTCCCACATGATGTTTTAACGAGTCTCCCACCAACTCTGAATCAGAAGCGTAAACAACACACTTTGGATTTTACACAACCTCTTCTGCCACTGAGTGCTCGGGGCTCCAGAGCATCCCACAAGAAGCAGATCTGTGCCGTATGCGCAGATCTGAAGTTGTAAATAAATGGCCTTTGTGAACTACGCATTACTCTTCTCGATTCGGCATCCATACATTTCTGGCTGGGTTTAATTGTGGTTAACTGCAATGGTTTTGCTGCACCTAGGGACATCATCCCCAAAGAACGACTGCAATGCAGCTAACACATCCTTCATAGTGGCGACCATCCTTGTCAGGATTCGGCTTGGAGTACGGTTGGTAAACCATGGTTTAATGTTGGGCAGGTGCCAGGGGCGATTCATTTAACAAAGCAGTGTTAAAGGAACATGATGAAGCCCGCTGTGTAACTTTTGTAACTTTCCCCTCCCCCACGGATCTGAATTACAACAGTTTCTTTAGTCACCTTTCAAAGTGACAACGGCACTGAAAAAAGGGACTTATGACCGTTTTTCACACTTACGACCGTTGCAGCCATCCCCGCATGGTCACGTGATCAAAATCCAGATGCTTGGCAACTGAGTCATCTTTACGACGGTTGCAGTGTCCCGGGCTCATGTGATTCTGGCTTCTCCCGTTGACATTGAGCGGGAATCGGCTTATTGTTTTAATCGACTCTTATCATTTTTATCAACTCTTATCATTTTTTTTTTCTGTGCCTGAGAATAAACATTCGAAAAATTGCCCATCACCAGACAGGTAAAAGAAACCTGCCACAAAGAAGAGGGAGCCAAGCTATTCTCCAAAGCGCCTGAAGGCAGGACAAGAACCAATGGATGGAAACTATTCAAGGAGAGAAGCAACTTAGAACTAAGGAGAAACTTCCTACAGTTAGAACAATTAACCAGTGGAACAACCTGCCTCCAGAAGTGGTGAATGCTCCAACACTGGAAGTGTTTAAGAAGAGACTAAAATGGTATAGGATTTCCTGCCTGAGCAGGAGGTTGGACTAGATGACCTCCAAGGTCCCTTCCAACTTTATTATTATTATAATACCTTTTAGTGATCTTTGGCTACTGAATATTACAGTTTTCCCGGCTCATTTACAGAGGTGGTTTGTAACCACCTTCATCCAGCATATATATATATATATATATATTTCCAGTTTCCCAATTGGATTAGAAGCTCAGGGATTCTCTAACAGTTCACCCATACAAAGACAGACCAGGCCCAACTCTGCTTAACTTTTGAGATGGAGCCACCTAGAGCCCTTACGGTGACTGTCAAAGCATCTATTCTAAATACAGGGAGTCAACTCGACTTACGATTCATTTAGTGACCGTTCAAAGGTACAGCGGTACTGAAAAAAAACCCCATTTTTCTCGCTTACAACCTTTGCGTTGTCCCCATGATCACATGATCCAAATTTAGACGCTCAGCACCTGATTCATACTTATGACGGTCGCAGTGTCCCCAGGTCACGTGATCCCCTTTTGTGACCTTCTGACGACCAAAGTCAATGGGGGAAGCCGGATTCACTTAACAACCGTGTCACTAACTTTCCAACTGCCGTGATTCACTTAACAACTGTGGAAGGGAGGTCGTAAAATGGGGCAAAACTCCCTCAACAAATGTCTCACTTAGCAACAGAAATTTTGATCGCGTGGCCACGGGGATGCTGCAATGGTGTGAAAAATAGTCATAAATCGCTTTCTTCAGAGCCATTGTAACTTAAAACAGTCACTAAACGAACGGTTGAAAGTTGAGGACTACCTGTACCAATGGACATGGTTAGTCGTTCAAATCTTCCAGGCTCTGGATCAAAATCCATCTTTGTAATTTACTTTACCTGTAAATTAACTTAAAAGTAGGAAGAGAAAGAGTCAAGGGATTTGTCCAGGTCAGACTTGAAGCTGAGCAAACGATAGAAGCACCACTTAAAGCTGAATTAAGTTAACAGGAAATGTTTAGCAGCTGGAAAAGATTAATTCCCAGGAATGGGACTGCATACATTTCAGATACGGATAAGAAAGCTTAATGGAGTAACAGAGTGGGAAGGGACCTTGGAGGTCTTCTAGTCCAACCCCCTGCTCAGGCAGGAAACCCTGTATTGTTGCAGAAAAATAGTTGTCCAATCTCTCCAGTGATGGAGCACCCACAACTTCTGAAGAATAGAATAGGATTAGGATTAGGATTAGGAATAGAATAGAATAGAATAGAATAGAATAGAATAGAATAGATATTGGAATATAGAATAGAATAGAATAGAATAGAATAGAATAGAATAGAATAGAATAGAATAGAATAGAATAACAGAGTTGGAAGGGACCTTGGAGGTCTTGCAGTCCAACCCCCTGCTCAGGAAATACCATTTCAGACAAATGGCTGTCCAGTCTCTTCTTAAAAACCTCCAGTGTTGGAGCATTCACCGCTTCTGGAGGCAGGTTGTTCCATTAGTTCATTGTTCTAGGTTGCTTCTCTCCTTGATTAGTTTCCACCCGTTGCTTCTTGTCCTTCCTTCAGGCGCTTTGGAGAATAGCTTGACTCCCTCTTCTTTGTGGCAGCCCCTGAGATATTGGAAGACTGCTCCCATGTCCCCCCTCGTCCTTCTCTTCATTAAACTAGACAGACCCAATTCCTTCAACCATTCTTTATATGTTTTGGTCTCCAGTCCCTAGCTTCAAGCGCCCCAAACTTCAAGCAGCTTGAATTTGGCTGCTTCCTGTTTCATTATTTTCAAGACGTTCCACATGTCCCATTGTTTGGTGTCTGTAATCCCAGTTTCTGTTTGAGGAAATTGGGCTGTTGTGATTTTACAAGTTTAAAAAAAAATCAAAAACCCAGAAACGGTGTTTATAAATTCAGATAGATTTTGTGTGTTGTTAGCTAACACTGCCCTCTGGTGGACGCCAGCTAAGCTTTTTAAAACGTATCTTCCTGTGCTGGGCTATTAATCAAAAGTGGGTAATAAAAATAATATTGTTGTGCCTGTATTAAAAGTCATTTGGCTATTAATATAATGCCGGGTTAAATAGAGCGAGGTATTAAATTATAACAGGGATGAATGAATGAATGAATGAAGGAAGGAAGGAAGGAAGGAAGGAAGGAAGGAAGGAAGGAAGGAAGGAAGGAAGGAAGGAAGGTCTTTATTGATTACAATCTAAGAACCATTGAGATATAATTGATGACTAATTAAGATATGCCTTCACCCACCTGTGCTAAGATACAGTAATTATAAGAAAAAGTCTGCCCATACAATTCCTGCATCCATTCCTCACTTTATTTAGCTTTTCTCTCTGCAGTTTTGAAGCCTGGTCCTTGTTTCAAAAATTGTATTACGGTCAAAGACCAGCATATCACTCCTATTTATCTATATTGCATGGACAATGCTCATTTTTTTTTTAAAAAAGGGTTTTGATTGCTTGGTTTTTACCACCCTCTAGATTTTTTTTTGACTCCACTTTGAAGACAGCCCAGTACACAGGATTCCAGATGCAGACATATCACACATGTGCACATCACGCTGGAGTCTTTTCTAATCAAGGAATACATCACAGTTTTGTACTTGCATCTGTCAAGGTTTTGAAGAACAGAGTACTGTAACAGAAAAATAATATGAAATGTTTAAAGAAGCAGGATGGGGAAGCGTATTGATGCCTTTGAACTCGGGAAGAGGCTCCAGAGAATATCATGGACAGCCAGGAAAACAAACTAATGGAGCATCAAACAAAATAACAGAGTTGGAAGGGACCTTGGAGGTCTTCTAGTCCAACCCCCTGCTCAGACAGGTCTCCAGTCCAATCTCTTCTTAAAAACCTCCAGTGATGGAGCACCCACAACTTCTGGAGGCAAGTTGTTCCACTGGTTAATTGTTCTCATGGTCAGGAATAGAATCATACAATCAATCATATGGCTGGAAGGGACCTTGGAGGTCTTCTAGTCCAACCCCCTGTTCTAACAGGAAACCCTATGCCATTTCAAACAAATAACTGTCCAATCTCTTCTTAAAAACCTCCAGTGATGGAGCACCCACAACTTCTGGAGGCAAGTTGTTCCACTGGTTAATTGTTCTCACTGTCAGGAATAGAATCATACAATCAATCATATGGCTGGATGGGACCTTGGAGGTCTTCTAGTCCAACCCCCTGTTCTAACGGGAAACCCTATGCCATTTCAAACAAATAATTGTCCAATCTCTTCTTAAAAACCTCCAGTGATGGAGCACCCATAACTTCTGGAGGCAAGTTGTTCCATTGATTAATTGTTCTGTCAAGAAATTTCTCCTAGGTTGGTTCTATCCTTATTCGGATGCTTTGGTGAGGCCATACCTACCAATGTCGGAATAGTACAAGCCATAATGTGCCCAATGATACTCTATGGAAGCAAAAGTTGGACTTGAAAGAGGCAGGATAGAAGACTCCTGAGAATACCATGGACAGCCAAGAAAACTAACTGAGGGATCATCCAACACATCAACCCACTCGAGGCACGAATGACCAAGCTCAAATTGTCCTCCTTCAGATACATCCCGTGAAGACCCAACTCTCTGGAGAAAGCTCTAGTGCTGGGAAAGGCTGAAGGGTGAAAAAGAGGAGGACAATCAGCGGCAAGGGGGATGATGGACTCAAAGTGGCAATCGCTATCAGAAAGGGAATCACCATCCTCTGTTATTATTCCGTCTTCCAGGGTTCTCCTCTTCTGCTTTCCTCAAGAATTCATCATCTTGGGAGCACAATATGACCAGGACCTTAGGACGGACAGTAATCATTGGGAAATAGTCTGCTTCACCTCTGGAATTTTGATCTCTAGTGCACTGAGTGTTGTGACGGCCTAGTAGTGGAAACACTTGCCTCCCACTCGGAATAGCACTTAGCAATAGCACTCAGACTTATGTACCACTTCACAGTGTTTTACAACCCTCTCTAAGTGGTTTACAGAGTCAGCATCTTGCCCCCAACAGTCTGGGTCCTCATTTTACTGATTTTGGAAGGATAGAAAGCTGAGTCAATCTTGAGCCAGTCAGGATTGAACTGCTGGCAGTCGGCAGAGTTAGCCTACAGTGCTGCATTCTAACCACTGCTCCACCAGAGATAGATAGATAGATAGATAGATAGATAGATAGATAGATAGATAGATGGATGGATGGATGGATGGATGGATGGATGGATGGATAGATAGATAGATAGATAGATAGATAGATAGATAGATAGATAGATAGATAGATAGATAGATAGATAGATAGCAATAGCAGTATCAATAGCACTTAGACTTATATACCGCTTCACAGTGCTTTACAACCCTCTCTAAGTGGTTTACAGAGTCAGCCCGTTGCCCCCAAACAATCTGGGTTCTACTTTTACCAACCTCGGAAGGATGGAAGGATGAATCAACCTTGAGCCCCATTAGGATCGAACTGTTGGCAATTGGCAGAGTCAGCCTGCAGTACTGCATTCTAACCACTGTGCCACCATGACTCTTAGGTTGAGACTTCAATCTTTGGTAGTGGCAGATGTTTCTTTCCTAGGGCACAAAGAAAAAAAAATCTGCTGTGAACTCCACGTAGGCATCAGGAAGGGCATCCAGCCAGTAAATGCTCAGCTCTGACTCTACCCCAAATTCAGGGATCTACCAGGTCATCAAAGGGAGTTTTAGTGTGCTGGGCAACACCTACAACAACCATGAAGGTAACGCAAACTTGCCACAGAAAAGGTTGATGTGAATATTGCAAGTGCATCCAAACAGCCCTGTCCCCAAATGCCTACTACAGAAGGTGACAAATAACAACTTTGTGCCTCCACTTACCCTTGAATGGAAGGACTCTCGGCACTGCACCAGTGGCAACTTGGTGCTAACCTCACTGGTGTTTCAAAGAGCGATGCATGTTGAGAACCTCCAGGGTCCATTAACCCTTGGACAAAAAAGTGCCTCTTGTGGGCAATGTGTCAGCAACACAATGGAGGCTGAGTGTTCCTTCTGAGTCATTACAGGCGTATTGAACTGGGATCCCGAGCTTAATCTGGGTTGATTGTCAATCCCGCTGAGCTATTGTGGAGCACAGAACAGTCCTGAAACTCAAATCTCTTTGCTTGAATATACAGCCTGTGGCCTGCCCACCGGGCTGCCTGTGTACGACTGGGTTTTATTTATCAAGCATGCTGTGGAAATTGTGAATATAACTTACAGGAGAAAAATTGCGGGGAAAAATAAAACGTTTCCAGAACTTTGATAAATACTTCAGAGGAAGGTGGTAGAAGCAGCTTTTTTTTTCAGTCGGGCCTGCTGATAAAATATCTTGTTTAGGCTTTAGAGCTCATTAATTAAAAAAATAATAATTATTTATATCCTACCTTTTATTATTTTTACAAATAACTCAAGGCGGTGAACATATCGAAAAAAATATTCCTCCTATTTTCCCCACAACAACAGCTGTGTGAGGTGAGTGGGGCTGGGAGAAAGTGACTGACCCAAAGTCACATAGCTGTTTTTCATGCTTCAGGCAGGACTAGAACTCACTGTCTCCTGCCGATTGGCTTAAAATCACCCAGCTGGCTTTCATGGCTAAGGTGGAACTAGAACTCACAGTCTCCTGGTGATTGACTCAGAGTCACCCAGCTGGCTTTCATGGCTAAGGTGAAACTAGAACTCACTGTCTCCTGGCGATTGGCTTAAAATCATCCAGCTGGCTTTAATGGCTAAGGTGGAACTAGAACTCACTGTCTCATGGTGATTGGCCCAAAGTCACCCAGCTGGCTTTCATGGCTAAGCTGGGACTAGAACTCACAGTCTCCTGGTGATTGGCCTAAAGTTACCCAGCTGGCTTTCGTGGCTAAGGTGAAACTAGAACTCACAGTCTCCTGGTGATTGGCCTAAAGTTACCCAGCTGGCTTTCATGGCTAAAGTGAAACTAGAACTCACTGTCTCCTGGTGATTGACTCAAAGTTACCCAGCTGGCTTTCATGGCTAAAGTGAAACTAGAACTCACTGTCTCCTGGTGATTGACTCAAAGTTACCCAGCTGGCTTTCATGGCTAAAGTGAAACTAGAACTCACTGTCTCCTGGTGATTGACTCAAAGTCACCCAGCTGGCTTTCATGGCTAAGGTGAAACTAGAACTCACAGTCTCCTGGTGATTGGCTTAAAGTCACCCAGCTGGTTTTCATGGCTAAGGTGGAACTAGAACTCACAGTCTCCTGGTGATTGGCCCAAAGTCACCCAGATGGCTTTCATGGCTAAGCTGGGACTAGAACTCTCCGTCTCCTGGTGATTGGCCTAAAGTTACCCAGCTGGCTTTCATGGCTAAGGTGGAACTAGAACTCACTGTCTCCTGGTGATTGACTCAAAGTCACCCAGCCGGCTTTTATGGCTAAGGTGAAACTAGAACTCACTGTCTCCTGGTGATTGGCCCAAAGTCACCCAGCTGGCTTTCACAGTTGTTAAGTGAATCACAGCAGTTGTTAAATTAGTCACACGGTTGTGAAGTGAATATGCTTTTCCCATTGACTTTGCTCATCGGGTCGCAAAAGGGACCCCGGGACACTGCAACGGTCATAAATGTGAGTCAATTCCCAAGCGTCTGAATTTTGATCACGTGACTACAGAGATGCTGCAACGGTCCCTCAGTCACTTTTTTCAGTGCCGTTGAAACTTCGAATGGTCACTAAATGAACGCTGGTAAGTCAAGGGGTAGCTGTAGTTTTACAGGCTTATAATTGTCACCGGTACATGTTCATCCTGCAAAGGTGTGTGTGTGTGTGTGTGTGTGTGTGTGAGAGAGAGAGAGAGAGAGAGAGAGAGAGAGAGAGAGAGAGAGAGCTGGAAGGCCGATCACTGAACAAGTTCAGGCTAATTGCTGATGAAGGTCAACTACTGTAGTTCCTTCTGCTCCCATTTGGACAGATTCTCACCCATGTTGCACAACCCCGAGCAATGATAAATCACCGGCGTGACCTGAAACTCAGAGGTATTCTCAAGGGCAAGATCTACCCGAAAAGCTATTTGCTTGCTTGCAAAGCAATCTGTTCTCCTGGTAGGAGGAGGACTGCAGTTCTTTGTGTTGTGATTAATAATTCTCCTTTGCAAAATCTAAAATTCTAATTTCCGTTATCTCCCCATTTTTTTCTCTTCTGTGCTTGGCAAGTAGTGGAAGGACTGTTTATCGTTTTTTTTTCTTTTTCCTCACCTGAAATTAACTTGACTGGGCTTTTATTATTCTCACACAGGCCAGAATGTTGTTCAATGGGAGCAGGCATTTTAATTAAGCATCGTAAACCTTGCTGTTCAAGGAAGGACCGCGGGATTATCAAGCTAGGAGAGCAAAACTGGCAAGCCTTTAATAATAACAATAACAACAACAATAAAGTTGGAAGGGACCTTGGAGGTCATCTAGTCCAACCCCCTGCTCAGGCAGGAAACCCTATACCAGGGGTAGGCAACCTTGGCTCTTTTGTGACTCGTGGACTTCAACTCCCAGAATTCCTGAGCCAGCATGGTTCAGCTTGGAAACCTCTCCCTTTCCCCTCAGTATGGCTGGCTCAGGAATTCTGGGAGTTGAAGTCCACGAGTCATAAAAGAGCCAAGGTTGCCTATCCCTGCCCTATACCATTTCAGACAAATGGCTGTCCCGTCTCGTCTTAAAAACTTTCAGGGTTGGAGCATTCACCGCTTCTGGATGCAGGTTGTTCCGCTGGTTAATTGTTCTAACTGTCAGGAAGTTTCTCCTTAGTTCTAGGTTGCTTCTCTCTTTCGTTAGTTTCCACCCATTGCTTCTTGTCCTGCCTTCAGGCGCTTTGGAAAATAGCTTGACTGCCTCTTCTTTGGGGCAGCCCCTGAGATACTGGAAGACTGCTATCATGTCCCCCCTCGTCCTTCTCTTCGTTAAACTAGACATACCCAATTCCATCAACCATTCCTTATATGTTTTAGCCTCCAGTCCCCTAATCATTTTTTGTTGCTCTTCTCTGTACTCTTTCTAGAGTCTCAACATCTTTTTCACCTTGTGGTGACCAAAACTGGATGCAGTATTCCACGTGTGGCCTTACCAAGGAATTGTAAAGTGGTATTAATACTTCACGTGATCTTGATTCTATCCTTCTGTTAATGCAGCCCAGCACTGTGTTGGCTTTTTTGGCAGCTGCAGCACACTGCTGGCTTATATTTAGGTGATTGTCCATCTTTGGTAAGGTTAGGGAGAAAAATGAAAGATTGAAAAAGAAAAGCAGGTATATTCGCCGGTCGTTTGGCACTGGCCTGGAAAGAAGTGGATTAGTAATAGTAATAGTAGTAAAGTTGGAAGGTACCTTGGAGGTCATCTAGTCCAACCCCCTATTCAGGCAGGAAACCCTACACCATTTCGGACAAATGGCAGTCCAGTCTCTTCTTAAAAACTTCCAGTGTTGGAGCATTTACTGCTTCTGGAGGCAAGCTGTTCCACTGATTAATTGTTCTCACTGTCAGGAAGTTTCTCCTTAGTTCTAGATTGCTTCTCTCCTTGATTAGTTTCCACCTGTTGCTTCTTGTCCTGCCTTCAGGTGCTTTGGAAAATAGCTTAATTCCCTCTTCTTTATGGCAGCAAAGTACATGTAGTCCTTGACCTACGACCACATACACAACATTTCTGTTGCTAAGCGAGACAGTTATTAAGCGAGTTTCGCTCCATTTTTTTCAACTTTCTTGCCACAGCTGTTAGGTGAATGACTGCACTGTTAGGTCATAACCTGGGGCAAAATTGAATTAACAACTGTTTCTCTTAGCAACAGTTGTGGTCGTAAGTCGAGGACTACCTGCAAAATTAGTAATATCAGCTATAAAACAGACATATTACATATCCCCAAATCCTTTCTTCAAGCTTTAGTCCCTTCCATAAGTGTGAGCTAGACTAGACTACCCACTTTGTACCTCCCAGCCCCCCCTCAAATGTTAAAGGTGGTCTTGATTCTTCCCCCCGCCCCGAAATAGGTTATGCCTTATAACAGGGGTCTACAAACTTGGCCCTTTTATTACTTGTGGACTCCAACTCCCAGAATTCCTCAGCCAGCATGGGGGAACTATGGCCCCTTCAGGACTTGTGGACTTCAACTCCCAGAATTCCTCAGCCAGCATGCCTGGCTAAGGAATTCTGGGAGTTGAAGTCCACAAGTCATAAAAGGGCCTAATTTGAAGAGGCCTGTCTTATAATATAGAAACTTTGTCCTGCAGCAACTCATTTGGTGCTATAAAAATTACAAACTCTCAGAAGCCAAAAACTGGTAACAGATGCAAAAGATGAACTCTGCACTCACCACCAGCTCAGAAGGAAAGGAAATGAAGAAAACCCAACTGATGATTAATTACCAATTAACACTTTTCTCCCAAGTAGGCCGGAGCCTTGCTGGATGCAGGCTATGGTGTTTTCATGCGTATTGACTTAATAATGAATACTGCCTCCGTTAACTTGGTTCATTTGTGCTTGAGTTTTGCAGCTAGAGTTTAGTTTAATTCAGGAGGAAAATGGGGTTCAAAAGTGCTTTATAATAATAGGATAGC